TATTCTATTCTATTCTATTCTATTCTATTCTATTCTATTCTATTCTATTCTATTCTATTCTATTCCATTCCATTCCATTCCTATTAATTCTATTCTCTATTATTTTAATTCTATTCTTCCATTCCATTCCATTCTTCATAAGTTAATATGACTAATACTATTAAGAAAGGAAAGGGTCTCGCATTAAGTTGAATTGGCCACCGTGAGTTTTCTTGCAGGGGGTTGGCTTGACCCTTGGCCCTCTTCAGATAGAACAGGTGCAGAACTGGTTTCTCAAAACGGATTCCTTCTTCTTTTTCCAGCTGTGGAATGGATTCCCACCCAGTACCGGACCATCACCATCGCCCTCACTGGGTTGTCTTATACTGCGGGGCAAATCCTCCTCGCGGGCTTGGCCTACTCCATCCGGGACTGGCGTTGGTTGCAGGTGGCTGTTTCGGCTCCTTATTTGGCCTTCCTGCTTTATTCCTGGTACGTGTGGGGGATGATGGCGGGTGTGATCTGCGACAGCCTCCCTCCTTTCCGAGAGGGCTGAAGTTTCAGAAGCGGAAAAGGCGTTGGCGACAAGTAAAAGAGAAGAAAAGGGGAGTTGTGGTTCTGCGTAGAACAGCGCAGAGAGTCCCCGACTTACAATAGTTCGTTTAGTGACCGTTCCAAGTTACAATGGCACTGAAAAAAGTGACCATTTTTCAGAGGGAGTTATCTCCAGGTGGTCTCCTTTCCAGAAGTGTTACTAACACCTTGGCTAACACAAGGTTGTCCACAATGCGACACATCAATGCAGGGTCCCCTGTGGGGCCCGCTGTATCTGAAACAGAGGGCCTCGACTTACAACTGTGCCCAAAAATTTCTGTTGCTAAGTGAGATGAGGGGTTGGACTAGATGACCTACAAGGTCCCTTCCAACTCTGTTTATTCTCTTATGCTTATTCCACACCGTTGCAACGATCCTTGTGGTCAGGTGATCCAAATTCAAATGCTTGGCAACTGGCAGGTACTTTTTTTTTTAATTTATTTTGATTTGTCAATCGCTTACAAGATAATAGGTATAAGTATATAAATAGTTATGAATACATGAAATGGGTACATATAAGAAAAATAAAAGAAACAATAGGACAGGGACGGTAGGCACGTTGGTGCGCTTATGCACGCCCCCTAGAGACCTCTTAGGAAAGGGGTGAGGTCAATAGTAGACAGTCTAAGGTTAAAGTTTTTGGGGTTTGGGGAAGAAACTACAGAGTCAGGTAGAGGATTCCAGGCATTGACCACTCGGTTGCTGAAGTCGTATTGCCTGCAATCAAGTTTGGTGCGATTAACCTTGAGTTTGTATCTATTGCATGCTCTTGTATTGTTATGGTTGAAGCTGAAGTATTGATTAACAGGTAGGACATTGCAATGTATGATTTTATATACTATATTTAGATCGGACTGAAGGCGGCGTAGTTGTAGGTTTTCTAGGTCTAGAATTTCGAGTCTGGTGGCATAAGGTATTCTGCAACAGGTAGAGGAGTGGAGAACTCTTCTTGTGAAATATTTCTGGACTTTTTCAACTGCGTTAATATCAGATACATAATGTGGGTTCCAGACTGATGAGCTGTATTATGTATTATTATGTATTATGTATTATTATATTATGACAGTTGCGGAGGTCATATGACCCTCTTCTGAGACCTTCCGACAAGCGAAGTCAATGGGGGAAGCCAGATTCACTTAACAACCATGTGACTATCTTAAAACAACTGCAGGGATTCGCTTAACAACAGTGGCAAGGAAAGTCGCCAAAGGGGATAGTCATTTAACAACCGTCTTGCTTAGCAACATAAATGTTAGGCTCAGGGGTGTGGCTGTTAAGTCGAAGACTGCCTAGAGCAGTGATGGCGGATCTTTTTGTTGTGGTGTGCTGAAAACGTGTGCATGCCAGCACCCACAATGCAATATTCCCCCCCCCGCACACGCACGCACAACACCCCTGCCCCGCCCCTTTACCTGCACTGTGCATGCGTGTACCTCCCAACTGATTTTGAGGCTGTTTGCACCCTCCTGGACGATTGAGGGAAGCCTTGGGAGGCTGAAAAATCTTCTGGAAATACGGGGAGTGCCTAAATGGGCCCATTTTTCGGCCTCCCGAGGCTGCAGAGGCTTCCCTCGAACCTCCAGGAGGGCAAAAATGGCCTCAAATGGGCCAAAAATCAGCTGGGAGGTGCCCGCATGCACCGTGCAGGTAAGTTTGGCTGGGGCTCGCGTGCCTGCAAAAATGGCTCTGCGTGGCACCTGTGGCATGCATGCCATCGGTTCACCATCACGGGCCTAGGGTTTTGGCAGGAAGACTTGATAACCTGTGGAACTCATGGCCACTTGGATTTCTATCTTGCAGGTGGTACGCTGAATCGGCTCGCTGGCTGATCCAGTCCGGCCAGGCCACTAAGGCCGTTGGTGTTCTCCAGAGAGTGGCCAGGATCAACAAAAAGGAGGAAGCGGGTGCAAGAATCACCACAGAGGTATGAAGGAAACAAGGAGGGGAAAACTCACCAAGCCATTGGAAAAAAAATGCCAAATCTTGGAGGTTGTTCAGATTAGGAAAAAATAAAGAAGCATATCTGTCATTCAGGGTTGAAATGAAGGATTCTCGGTGCTCTCTTTCTTGCAGACGTTTCATTACCCAACTACGTTACTTTATCAGTGTTAAAAAGTGATAAGAGCAAACCCCACTCCCCACCAGCACTGATGACGTTGCCTAGCTTGGTAATGAAATGTCTGAAAAAAACCGCACCAAGCTCAGAGAGGATCAAGATTAGGAAAGATTCCATAAGAAAACTAAACTAAACTAAACTAAACTAAACTAAATTATTGAGGTAGGCTGCATTCACACAATCATGTAGTCCTGATTATTTTTCTCCCTGCCCTCTTATACCACACTGAGTTAGGGAGAAGCTAATCTGAGCCTCTTCTTAACACTATCCTGTTTTCTAGGGCTTAAGGTATAATTCTCCCCCTTTTTTTCTTGTAACCCCTTGAATGTTTCCTTTTCATGACTCTAGTGTTTCTTAATCTCGACCATTTTGAGATTGGGGATTTAAATTCCCAGAATTATCCCAGTCATCATGGAGTTGAAGCCCATACATATTAAAGCATACAAGCTAGAGAATTCTGGAAGTTGAAGAGCACTGGCCATCTTAAAGAACACTGGCTAGGGAATTTTGGGAACTGAAGTTTATATCTATGTAGTCAGTAAGTTGAGAATGACTCAATGGCAATGTAATCAATCAATCAATCACCGTATCAAATATCTACCTTGGAGAGGAATACCAAGGTATTTCATGTTTATTCCACTCTCTTTTTAAAAAAATAAAGGTTTGTATTAAAGTTTATAAGTACAAAGAGAAGAAACTAAAGCAAACTTGGAAAAATATAAACTGTAAAAAAAGGAACAAACCAAAAGAGAGTTAAAAAGAAGTAAAAAGATTGTAAAAATATATAAATGACAGCAACTATCAACAATTATGTCACTTCACACCTTTTCTAGTATTTCAGTGTTTTCTCCTATCTCATTTCTTATCAGTAAACTAATTGTAAAAATCTCACTACTCAGTCCCAATCAGCAAAAATCCATTAAGAGCATCCAGAAATAGTAACACGCATATTTTTACCTTAGTCAAATCAATCCACTTTGTATCCCAACTTCGTATTCCCTTATCGAAGTGATAAGCGAGCGATCAGAACGAGAGGGCCCGAATTCATTGGTAGCCTCACACTGCAATAAACAAGGATATATTCAAATATATAACGTATATTCAATTTCGTAGCTACTAAGATCGTTGGCAGAACATCCAGGGAAGTGATTGAAGCCTGGGATATTGGCCTCTTGTCAATCAATATGAGCACTGATTTGTCAGCAGCTCATCAAGTACTTAGGAACTGAACGTGCAGAAATGAGTAGATTGACATTTGCTATCAGAGAGCAAGAAGAACAAAATGGGATTTATTTTATCAATGGCTAGATAAGAAAACAGAGAAATAAAATATATTATAAATACAACATAACAGTAAAGATAATACAATGTAATGATAGGTTATAATCGATTATTGTGAAGTGAATGACAATATGAACTAGGTTTTGTGAAAGTTGAGATTTGCTTGAAAAGGATGATGAGAATCTGTAATTACAATCTAACAACGATTTGATAATAGTATGATATTATGCGGATAGTAGTTTTATACATTATGAACTTTAACATAAAATTAAGGAGGGAATGACTGTTGATATTGTGCACAAGAGATATTGTTGAAAGGCTGGAAAATGCCTTTCTTTTGAGGATTCGGTTTTCCTGCTGGGAGGGCTCCGGTGCAAGGACACAGACAACTGCTTGGAAGCTGGTTCTTTTATTTTTCAGGAAGGCAAGGGATAGCAAGAAGTCTGCGTTCCTGGGGCTAGCCATTTTTGTATAATAAACCCCTAATTTTTATACCTTTTCTCCTTTTGTGTGTGTGTGTGCTTGTGTTTGTATTTCTTAATGTTTTAAATCCTGTCAGGGGTTGTCTTCATTTCCGCCAGAGGGTAAACTCCGCGGGGTGGTTTGATTGGATTATCAGTTTCATCCTAATGTTTTCTTATATTTGTTTGGTGGCAATCTCCTG